GAGCCAAACATGTTGGTCAGCATTTTGGGGGGGGGGGGATGAGCATGCGGGTGGTGCACAGCAGCAGTGGTCCTGGCAGCTCTGGTGGCAGCACCTCCAATGGAGTACTTACATACTGATTTGTGTTGGCAAATTTATTGAATGCGAGAGGATTTTGCTACTCATTTGCTGTTCTCTTTTGTTTCCCCAGGCACTCTGATGTCTGGTCTCCAGCTACACAGAGGTACATTTCTCTTCATGCAGCAGCCATTAAGGCTAATGCGCAGTAACCACAGTTGCAAAAGAGGGATCTTGACAAAAGTGTGGGGCCATGAGACTCCCCTAGATGTGAGGCAGAGACCAGGCCCCCTTGGGAAAGTTGCTGGGACTCTTTAGTCTGCTTTTGGTGGTGGAAAGTGCTGTCAGGTCACAGCAGATTTATGATGATCCCACCTGGTTTTCAAGGCAAGGTTCAGAGGTGGTTTCCCCTTGCCTGCTTCTGTGCAGGGAATCTGCTTCGCTTTTGAGATCCAATGAGATCGGGCTCACCTGGGCTGTCCAGTTGAGGAGTCTTCCGATTTCCCTTTTCCATGGCCCATTCTGCATCTAACATTTGTCCCATTGTTTTACCAAACCCACACTGGAACAGAAAAAGATGCAGCTGAAAACCACATTCAGATACCCCGGGCCAACGCCATACTGACTGCAGAGTCACCCCTGAACGGCCATAAATCTATGCAGACAGTACCATAAAACAAAGAGATCAAAAGAAGTGAAACTGGCAGGCAGTGTGGAGGCTACCATAAAATCTGACAATCAATCAAAGTGAAAGTAGCATGCAATGTAGAGGGGGATTTCTGTTCCAACAAGGGTTTGGTAAAACAGCGGAGCGAGTCCTAGATGCAGAATGGGCCTATAAGGTTTCAGAAGATCCATTCCTCAGATGACGTGAGCTTTAACTCATGAAAGCTTATGCCCTGGACATTTTGGTTGGTCATTAAGATGCTACTGGACTCAGATTTTCTTCTGTTAATAACCAAATGGCTCTGTTCTGGATCCACTTCAGGCAGGGTATTCTCTGTTGTGACTCCGCATACAGAATTCTTCTCAGTCTTGTAGTAGTATCTTCAAAATAGGGGACAGGACCTGGGAACTTCTGCAATCAAATTGGGGAAGGGAAAGGAGTTTGTAAGCCACTCTGAGACACCTTTGGGTAGTGATGGGTGGGGTATAAATCCAATCTCTTCTTCTTCTTGCTTGGAATGTCAGCAGGCAACAGGGATGGGGGCAGGGAATCCCCACTCCTACCAAGAAACAGGACCCCTCACTGAACCCCATCACATATGGGGAGCACAATACCCTTTAAGAAGAAGAAGAAGAGATTGGATTTATACCCCGCCCTTCACTCGGAGTCTCAGAGCGGCTGACAAAGTCCTTTCCCTTCCTCTCCCCATAGCAGACACCCAGTGAGGTAGGTGGGACTGAGAGTGCTCTGACAGAAACTGCTCTTTCAAGGACAGCTCTGACAGAACTATGGCTTGCCCAAGGTCATCCAGCAGGTGCAAGTGGAGGAGTGGGGATACAAACCCGGTTATCGCAAATTAGAGTCCGCTCACTTAACCACTACACCAAACTGCTGTACCTCAGACCTCAGGCTTCCTGACTAGTGTCACATCTGCCTTCTCACTATTCAGTCTCAAGTTCA